GGAAAGAATGGTCAGTACAACAAGTGTATTGTGCATAGATAGCTTAGCATAAGGAGTCAAAGTCAAATGTCTCTGAACCAGCCCAGAGGGAAACTTCCAGGTGTAGTCATAGTGAGTGGTCAGGGCAGTGGGGGCAACTATGTACCGTGTAAAAGGTGTGAGAGGCCAGAAGTCTGTATCTCAATGTGAAATTTTCAATTTTTAAAATCACCTTGTTATTAATAACCCTGCTTTATCCATTAATGGCTAAATTGTACTCCTGTGTGATATAGGATAGGTTTTCCAGCAGTAAACAACAACCCCCAAAGCTCAGTGGCTCAAAACTATTAAAGGTTCTGTCTTGCTAGTACTCCTTTCGCAGCTACATCAGCAGGGGTCTCTACTCTTAGAATAGCTAAGAAGCCCAGGCTGAGGAAGGCTTTATTAGAACACATTTTCTTTTTTTTTTTATTAAGTCATATATACATAGATCATGAATACATTTATGCCTTTGTGGGATTCAATGTGTTGATTATTTGTAAAAATTGGAGTGCTTACATCCTACTAATTAACATCGCTTTCACCACATTTTCAACGAAATAATAGCAATAATGCAATGGGAACCTGGGACTCACGGGTTGACCCCTAAAACCTCTTATGGCAATGACAGGGATCACATAGATTTACATTTTGTTGCCCAAAGATAGTCGATGAAACTATCAAACTTCTAAGGTGGTAAGGAAGTGTGGTCCTACCCTGGGCTGAAACAGAGCTGCAATGAATGTTTCTGAACATCCCTTGTGACTATCACAGCTCAACATACTCTGATTTTTAAGGCAGAAAAGCTAGATTTTTTACTAAGGTAGAATCCAATTTTCAAAGATCTCAAACAGAAATTGATTCAGAAAAACAATTGTGTTGTTTTTGAAGGATTAAATTAGACTTCTCTGGAAAATTTGTATTTTCCTTGATTTGGATTTGTGCTGCTTATTTAAACACTCTTTTTCTTTTGGCTGATTAGAAAATCATATGCAGGAACTGTGAAATATTTTTTAGCTGACATAATGATTTTCAAATGAGTATTTATTCTAAAAAGCACTGTTAATATATTTAAAATATGTGTTTATGTTATCCACAATCTTGTGTAAATTGTCTTATTACACTGAAGGGTAAGAATCTTGTCTTATTAACTTATATACTCTGTAGTACCTGGTACAATAGAAAATGATTATTTAATTGATGTTAATTAATTTTATGTTTATCAATTAGTAGTTAATAAGTCACTATAATTAAAGATCATGACTTCAGAAGATGTCACAGATGTGGAAAACACTTCAAGAATTTTTTTTTAAGTTGACTATTGTTGACTATGGTGTGATACAAAAGCTAAAAGTCAATAGCCCCTCAATTTACACGGCAGTTCTGGCTTGTAGCCTCTGAATCACAAGGCAACCAGACCTTCTTTTGAAATATCATTTTTCTTTAATGTTTTCACGTGCTTTATTTGGCTGTAAGATTTGGATGAATTATAACTTTAAAAAACTTGAGGAGCATATATAAGTGCTCGGGGAGGTATTCCATTGCCCAAGATCTTGCAAGGCCCAAAATAGTCTTCAAAACAAGCCCCTCCTAGCTCCTAAACCCACACCCCTCTTGGATGACCAGATAGAGGGCGATTCTCATTCTCATGAAATGCAAAGTGCTCAGGGACATGAATGTGTGAGGACAGAGCTTGGCCCAGGAACAGTGTTTCTATAATTTAATGGTAGAATTGCTCCCCTTGGAGAAAGTTGCATGAGCACAAGTTACTCATTGATTGAATCCCAACCATGCAAGTGTGTTTCCAAAATCAATCACTCTTAAGTTATTCCACATGTACTTGTAAATATTAACACAATGGTCCGTGTAACTGTTTTTTTGTTTGTTTGTTTAAGGTACAAGCTATTACTTAAGGTGTATGAAGATACAGCATAGTGTTAAGATTTTAATGTCAGATGACTTGGGTTCTAAAATCATTACTAACATCAAAAATAAATAAATAGGACCTGCTAAGGACATAGTCAGCAAAGCAAACAGACAGCCTTCGCAGTGGGACAAGATAATTGCATGCTATGACAAGGGTGAATAACCCGAGTCCAACAAAGGGCTAATAACCAGAATCTTAAGCAACTTATGCAAATCAACAAGAAAAGGCCAGACAACCCCATTAAAAACTGGGCAAGTGAAATGAACAGCATCTTTTATCATGAGGACAGATGAATGACCAACAGCACATGAAAAAATGCTCATCATCTCTAATTATCAGGGAAATTATATCAAAAACACTTCGAGATATCACCTAATCCCATTGACAATAACCCACATCACAAGGTCCCAAAGCAACAGATGGTGGTGTGGAGGTGGAGAGAAGGGCACACTCATACACTGTTGGTGGAACTGCAAACTAGTACAGCCTTTATAGAAAGAACTAAAAGTAGACCTACCATTTGATCCTGCAATCCTATTACTAGGTGTCTACCCAAGAGAAAAAAAATCATTTTACCATAAGGACATTTACACTTGAATGTTTATAGCAGCCCAATTCATAATTGCAAAGATACTCGAACAACCCCAATGCCTTTCAACACATGAATGGATTAATAAACTGTGGCATATGCATACCACTGAATGCTACTCAGCCATAAAAAAGGTGGAGATTTTGTATCTTTTCTAACAACCTGGATGGATTTGGAGATCACTCTCCTAAGTATCATAGGAATGGAAAAACAAGCATCACGTGTTTGATGTTTAGTACTACTCAAGTACTAAATTGAGTAGATTAACAACTGTGTGCTCATTTGAGAAAAAACTCAAATAAATTGAACAAGTAGCTGCAAGTTCCCACCAGAGGGAAACAGTGCACATGTGTATGGCACATGTCTTAGGTAAAGGAGACAACTGCCATTAGGACTTTACCTTACAAACGCAAACAATGTAACCTAATCACAGGTACCTCATATTTGTCTGAAATATGAGGCTTTGGGAATTTTAGGCTGTCCCAAAATCACCATACATAGGAATGGGAGATTGTAACGAAATGTACCTTCATTTATAAAATATTTACAAAATTTTTTCTACATGTTAGCCACCTTTTTATACACACACATGGGGTCTCCTCTCCCACTCATGGCAAACATATTCCAAAATATCTATTATGATTTTTCCTGCATATGGTGACTGGGGACATCCTATATGTATACTAGCTGTATCATGTAGGCAAATCATTTAACACAGTAATGTTTAGATTCCTTATTTGTAAAATGAAGGTAGATGGTATCTCGCATCTCATTAGATTTCCTTGAAGATTAAATGAAATTATGTGTACAGAATGCATAGTTCCAGGCATAAGGTGAGCATTCAGTAAAAATCAGCTGTTATTAATAATTAATTATCATCTTTATAAAATAATATAATCAGGGTTAAAGGATCTTAAAAGTTATTGAAAGAAGCTACTAACATAATAATTTCATTCCCACCAGGAAGTCTCCTAGCCCATGATTAAATACTTATTATTAGATATCTCTGAGTTTTAAAATGTTCTCATATTGAACTAAATTATGCTTAAATCTGTAGCTCTCACCATTTAGAAGTACAGAGAACAAATATAGACCCTTTCCTCTGACAGCCCTTTGTGAATTTGAAAATATCTCTAATCACAGGCTATTTCTTCAACTTCCTTGGAACTTTTCTTACCTCTTCCTAAAACTTTCATTTGATCTTTCTCCTTCCCTTCAATGCCAAAATTTTAGAAATAACAGAATATAGATGTGGTTTCAGCTTTCTCTGGTTTTATTTTTCTCTACGACATCTTGGTATAGAATGTGCTTCAGCAACTCCCCAAGCTGAAACTTGGGGGTTACTCAAAACAAAACAGAAAACAGACAGAAATAATAAAACTGGCCACATTTTATTAAACACTTACAATGTTCTAGTCACTATACTAAGAGTTTTATGTATCTTTGTCATTTAATCCTTACTAGACCCTCTATGAAGTATATATTGGTATTGTTTTCTTTATTTTACTGTCGATGAAATTGAGTCTCTGAGAGCTTGAATTTTTCAACATTCTGCAGGTCTAAATGGGTGGTGGGTGGTTCAAGATTAGTAAGTGAGCTGTAACACCTTCGAAGTCCTGGCATGTAAACCAGGTTTATAATTGTCAGTTAAGTTGGGTGAATATGGGGAGGAAGAGATAAACAGGTCAGTCAATATTATGGGGCACACATTATATAAAAGACACATTTGTGAAATAATAAATATAAAACAGCATTTTTCTTATATAAGGAAGCTCCCAATGTACACACACGTGCATGTACATATGAAAGTAGCTCATGAAATGAGAAGTGAAAGCAGAATAAACATAGTCTGTATGAGACATCTCTCCTATTAATGCCTTCTGATATTTTAAAAATTGTATATAAATGAATATATAATATAATGAGATAGGGGTAAGTATAGCTAATAACAAGATACATGTAAAACTGGAGACAAGATCTATCAGGAATACAGACAGATATAAAGACATGGACATAGAGATATAGATAAAAAGAGAGACAAACATATTTAAAGAAAATCCATGGACCAGAAAGATATAGATAAAATTCAGGACAGTGTTTATTTGGGAGAGGAAATGAGAGACTAGGACACCTAGGGATGGGGAGAGAGGGGAGAAAGGAAACATCATCTATAATGTTCATTTGTTTCAGGTACATAAAATTATCTGAATAAAAATAAAAATTACAAATGGGAGTTGCTATGGCGGGACAGCTTCAATTCTTAATTTTTTGAGACTTGCATAAGAATCATATGATGATACTCTACTGTAAGAGTTTATATCATTTAGATTTATAAAACTATGTACTCATAAAAAAGAGGCAACCCATAAATTTAAGAAAGACAACATCATAAAAAAAGGTTCTTGAAATAAACGGAGTGGCGCTCCGCTGGCTTCCCACCCCCCTGACCCCTGCTTCTGTTGGCAGGCAGTGGGCTGCGACCGGCAGCTGGGGAGCAGCGCCAAGGAGGACAACTGCGGAGTCTGTGCCGGCGATGGCGCCACCTGCAGGCTTGTGCGGGGACAGTCGAAGTCACACGTTTCTCCTGAAAAAAGTAGGTTTTAAACTCAATGCTATGTTACCATAATAAAGATGCGTTTTTGACCTCTATTACTATACTAGCATTTCCCTAATGCTAACATTTTTAGTTGAAATAACTTTGACCGGTATTCTGAAAATCAGATTTATTCCACAAAGTGTATATCAAATGTTGTTCTCATTATCTCTCAGAAGAGTACTCCCTCTCCAAACCTTTGACAACACAGAATATTTTTAAAAATATTTGCCGATTTTTCAGGTAAATCATGAACGAATTATTTCTTGTATTTTCCTTTGATTGCTAACAAAGTAGATGATATCATCATATATTTATTGGACATTGTTTTTTTTTTCAATTAGCTATTGAAACCATTTACTCACTTTTCTACTCGAATGTTGATCTTTTCCTTACTGTTGAGAGCTTTTAATATCTGATAAATAATAAATTTTGATTGTTATACTTATTTCAAGTGTGATTTACAGTTTTTCTATTTTGTGTTTTTAGAATCAATAGTTTCTAAGTTTTATGTATTCAGAAATTTCCGTCTTTTTATTTTAGTAACTTGTCTTTTTTTATCTTTTAATTTGGGGATCAGTAAATTTTTTTTCTGTAAAGGGTCAGATAATAAATATTTTAGACTTTTCAGGCATATAGTGTCTGCCTCAACTACCCAGTATAGCCACCGCAGGGCCAAAGCACCCACAGATACCTAAAAACAAGTGGGCATGACTCCATTCCAATAAAACTTGATTTACAAATGTAGCCTGCAGGCTTAATTTGGCCCTCGGGTTGTAGTTTGTTGACCTGTACTTTAAAGGGAAGAAATTGTTCATGCATGTTTTCTGCTAGTACTTTTATGATTTTGTTTTTCTGCTTTTAAACCTTTTATTCATTTTAATTTAGTTTGATATAACTTATGAAGTTGGGATCTTATATATTCCTCCAAATAGGGAGAACATTGTAGTGCAGGGTTTTTCAAGCATAGGAAACACAAAGTCGGTGGCATGACACTAGCAGAAAGCCTGGATTTTTTGAGGAACTACTAATATGATGCACTGGCATGAATGCACATTAAATATCATGAATATAAGACAGAATGGCATTTAGGAGTTGGCCATAAAAGCCTTCATTATTACATTTTATATTTCAGGTGAAGTGGAGTCATTAAAGCAATTTAGGCAGGGGAGTAACCTGGATAGATTGTCTTTTAATAAAATAATTCTGGGGGCCTGTGGGGACTGTATTACCTGTGAAGTGAGGCTGGAAGCAAAGAGTCCAAATGGGAAGCTTTTTTTTTTTTTTTTAGAGACAAAAATCTCACTTTATCACCGTTGGTAGGATGCTGTGGCATCACAGCTCACAGCAACTTCAAAGTCCTGGGCTTAGGTGATTCTCCTGCCTCAGCCTCCCAAGTAGCTGGGACTACAGGCACCTGCCACAGCACCCAGCTATTTTTTTGTTGCAGTTTGGCCAGCGCCAGGTTTGAACCCACCACCCTCGGTATGTAGGGCTGGTGCCCCACCCACTGAGCCACAGGCGCTGCCAAAAATACTGCCAAAGAGCATTTGAAACAATGAAGTCTTGGTCTAGGGTAGCCCAGAAGGGATATAGATGAAGGAGCAGTTGGAGAGATAGATATTTAGAAGGTAGAATGAGCATGGTTACCTAATTCTTTGAATAAGGAAAGAAAAACAAAAGAGAAAAAAGAAGCTAAAATGGTGTCAGTTCAACAACCTGAGCAGCTGGGTAGATGTTGCTGTCAATTTGGGTAGGGAATTCACAAAGAGGAGACATTTATAAAGGTGAAAGCCCATATCCCTGGATTTTTTTTCTCTCTAGAATTTTGGCCCTGTAAGTATCCAATAACTTAGTACCTTTCCGATGCCTTCAAACAGATTTTGTTTGTGGTCGGAAGGTTGCTGTGAAACATGTTAGCCCATCACGACTGAGAGCAAAATTCCCTTGTTTTTGGTATTCGCTTAGAAATGAGAGTGAATCCATCCAAAGAGAGCATAGCAGAAGGTTGTAAGTTGTGTGCCGATGAGCACCTGCAGTCTGAGCATGTAGCCAAGAAAGAAATTTAGGGAAATTCTGAGAAGGAATGAAGAGAGCAGGCAGGTGAATGCAGGTGGTAATGGTCTCCTGGAATAGGCCCCAAATTTCCCTTTGGAAATTTGAAGGTCATTAGTCTAGGATGACCAGACGTCCCGATTTTGGCGGGACAGTCCTGCTTTTCAACGATTTGTCCCAGTGTCCCTTGGCGTTTTAAAAAAGTCCCGATTTTTGGAAAGAATGCACGAAGGGGCTGGAGAACAAGAAGGGAATATACGGTTTTCGGCCGCCATATGGCTATTTCGCCTGAATATGAATTTTATATTATTTTTGTTAATTTTATAATGTTAAACTGTAATAAATAATTGCTGAGAAGCGATTATCCAGAACTGCTTATCAAAGTTTGCCTTGTTGTCAGGCCCCGCCCGGCACCTCCGCTTCGCCCCTGCTCCGCCCTCGCTCCGCCCCCCGGCCATGTGGTCCCGCCTTACAGATGTTAGAATCTCGTCACCCTACATTAGTGCCATTAAGCAAGGGTGATTACAATTAATTTCAGGCTGAAAGGTTGGTTGCAACAGGTCAATAAATGAAGACAAGGGGAGAATATAGAGAACGAAGCATTTGTCCAGGACAAGAGGAGGGATACTTAGGCCACTACAAAAGTTTTGAGACAGACTGTGTTATGGTACATTATTTCACTTCCAAGAAACAAGAGTTGACAGCGTCCTTCCTCGTTCCCCCCTGCAAGTTTCAGCTTGCTTGGCCTATCAGTCTTGCTGTAAGAGCTTCATTTGTTTTTGTCAGTGTGGATTTTGCTTTTCTTGATTTTTGTGTATCTCAACACTTTCCCTGACACCATGTCAACTGCAGGAGAGAAATTAAATGAGTTCCAGCCTATTGGGTTCATTGGACTCTTGAGTAAGAGGTAGAGTTAAGTGTTAAGAGGGTGGGCTCAGAGACCTGTGTTCCCAAGGAGGAAAGGAACAGAAGGAACTCTCCAATGACGGTGAAAAGAGAGATGAGGAGCTGTAAGGGCCCTGCTGAGATCAGATACGGTGAATCTGTGGGAGTTCCAATCCATGGACATCATAAAGGAGGTCGCTTTGAATAGTGGTGTGTCAGTGTAGAATGCATTGTACTGCAAATCACAGAAAATGCATTATGAACAGAATTCATGTGTCTCCTCTGTCAGGAAGTCTACAGGAGGCATTCATGGCTTGGGACACTGTTCTGATATATCTCTCAGGAGCCAGGTCAGCATAGTCAGAGTGCTGCCACCGGCCTGGCTGCAAAGTCGTTCTGGGCACTGTGATGTGACATCTGCACATACTGCATACTAAGTGCATCTGCATACTAAGAGCAAAGGCATTCTTTAATTCTGTGTTATTTATTCAGGAAGGGAAGTCTTCCCCAGAGAATTTTGCTTCATTGACTGTGGCACGTAACACCCAGCTTCTAAGGAGGTGGGAAACCAAGTACTTAACATTCTTTCCATTCTGTTATTACTAATATTGAATAATGCTTTGTAACAGTGTTTTCTTCATGCATATCTTATCATTTAATTCTACTGGTATTGTGGTTTTGATAATGTCATACCCATTTTACAAATGAGGAAACTGAGGACAACAAAAGTTAAGAAACATCTCCTGTAATTAATTAAGAAAAGCAACATGGGGAAGTGGTTAAGAAATTGGAGTCTTGGGCCAGAATGCCTGAGTGTAAATTCTGGGTCTGTTGTTTATACTACCTGTGTAAGCAGAGCAAGTTATTTAACTTCCATGTGTATCTTGGATTTCTCATTTTTAACCAGGAATAAGAGTAACACTGCCTTTGTAGAGCTATTGTTGGCAGGAATAAATACATCAGTCCATGCTGAGCATTCCACATGCATTGGTACCTAAAGAGTGTTCAGGAAATCCTAGCAGTATTTTTATTAAAAATGCTACTTATTTGGGTACCAAAGGATATCACCCTTCTTATACACTTTAAATGTATACCCTTAAATGGATATTTGTAAACATATTTTTAAATCAATAGTTGATCCACCTGGGAATTTATTTTAAGGAATCTGCTGATAAGTATGGAGAAAAACCTTGGAAGTGTCAGAAAGAGTGAAGGGTAGGAGAAAGCAAAGCTTGAGGGTACACCTCGGGGGAAGACAGCTTGAAAGACGGGGTGTACTGAAAGAAGTTCATTCAGAGGGGCTTATGGCAAGAGGATGAAGGGAAGAGGACAGCCAAATCAGGGTGCCAGGGAGGTGCCTGGAGTTAGCATTGGCCTTAAAAAGCTTAGAAATGTCATCAGAAAAGACCTTGTTTTGTCAAGGTCCAAGAGAGATTGGAAATAGAGATAATTTAAATTGAACTAGGGTAGAAGCTGAGTGAATGTGCCAAGAAACCAGCCCTTCCTGGGAGAAGTATGCAGAGGAGGCCCTGAAGTGCAGGGTAGCTCTCTCCTCCCTGGCCCTCTCACATACTGATTCTCAGTTTGGGGATAATAGATCCTTTTCAAAATCCACTGAAAAGTAAAATTGCATGTGTACTTATAAACCCAAAATTTGTCCTTCTGATATTGTGGGGCTGGGCCCAGACCCCTGATGCTCATTTACTATATTCCAGGTTAAGAACCCTTGAAACGTTTAAAGTTTTTGATCAGTTTATATGAAGAAAGGAGAAGGGAACTGGAGTTGCAGGGCGTGAGTGACATGGTATGAGCCAGGGCATCCCGCAGGACACTGCTATTTCATCAGGTTCTAAACGTGTGCTTGAGCTGAGTATGGAGGTGGCGAAGGTTCCTGCCTGCATGAATATACGGTGCTTCTTCTCGGTTCTCATGACGGCCCCTTCATGTCTGTTACTGCGCTGCACCAGGCCAGCTGAAGCTGTTTTTGGCTGGGATTTTCCCTAGCCATATGGAAGCACTTCCCTATAATCATGCTTGTGTGAAAGAAATGTGGGGAATGA